AATTTTAGCCATGGTTTTAAAAGCTAAATGCTAGACTAACTGTAATTATGTATAACTAATAGTCCTCAGCAGGGGACTATGGCCTTGTACAAACTTTAGGGGATATGTCTAGATAAAGAGAAAATGGAAAATAATACCTCAGCGTAAGGCTAACCACCACCTTCCTATTTCCACAGAGATATCCTTGGCTTTGTGTATAGAACTTTGCTACTCAAAGTATAGTTCAGTAATATTGGTATCACCTGGGAATTAGAAATGCAGATACTGAGGCAGCAGCCTAAAACTACTAGATCAGAATTTGCATGTTAGCAAGACCCTTCCCCCAGAGGAGATTTATATGCACATTCAAGTTTGAGAAGCACGACACAAAATACTTTAAGGGTGCACTGTATATAGCAATACCAAAAAGATAAAGTACCAAACAGGCATATAAAGAGACAAAATATCTGCTCACTTTCTGTATATCATATTTTATTAAGTACTGATCAGACAGACCTTCAGTGTTTTTAATCAATTTGGTATTTACTAACGACCACATGATCTAAATGTGGGATCCATTTCACTTCCTGAAATAACATACCTTAGCTCTAGAGCTTTCAAGCACATGAAATATAGAACAGTTTAGTTGTTCTGAAAATATAATAATGGTTAATTTTATGCAAGTTCCAACACTGAGTTCAGAGCACTTCTCTACAAGCCCCATTAATTCCTACAGGTTCCTGGGAGTATCATTAAATCCCCCAGCATCCCTAAGAAGCAGGTGCTTGGCAAACATCCAATCTCCAAATGAGATTCAGAAGGATGTGGTCCTGAAAATGCAGTACTTTCCTGCCTCATCCTGCCAGTGTAGCTTCTCAGGCCCAAACTCTCTCCCCCACTGAGGCCTCATACAGCTGCACACTCAAGTACTTCCCAAAAGGGAGAAAGGTCAGAGGTATCATTATCCCATAAGCACTTGGGATTCCAGCTGTGGAGAAATTAATCCGGTTAGGGGTTCAGGCAGAGAAGCCCTGAGTAAGATCTGGAAAGGCAGAAAGAACTACAAAAGAAAGAACCTACTGAGAGGCTTTTATACAGGTCCCAGATATTTGGTCCCAGATATTAGGAGAGGTCCCAGATATTTGGAGATTCTAAGGTGGGGATTGGGAGCAAGGCTTGGCAGACATGTGAGAAAATGATGGGGAGAGATGAGTATCCAACCCCCACATGCACCTCAGGGACAAGAACAAAAAGATAAGAGATTCCTCCAAATGACCTCTTTTCTTGATAAAAGGAAGAAAGCCAATATAGGGAGGAAGCTTATGAGTTGGAAGCAAGACTGGAAGAATCCCTTCAGAATGTTTTCCCAATATATGGGGGAAAAGCAAAGGAGAAAACAGTACACATTTAACCAGAATCTTACAGGAAGCAAACCACCGGGAGAATTAAGAGTCCTGTGAATAATCAAAGAAAGGCAAGGGGATTCCTTTCCAGTTTAAAATCGGTGCTGGAGGGTCAGACAGTCCTGGACTTAAGGCCACCTCCAGCTCAAGGAGTAAGTAGAAAAGGGAAAATCTCTACAGACACCAGTAAGCAGAGCAGTGTCCAAAGGGAGTTAGAAACCAGAAAAATGCAGAAAATGGGATAGGGCAAACTAAGATAGAAGAGTTTCTGTTAGTAGAAAGCAGAAAGATAAAAGATAAAGTAGACATACGAAAGACAACATGCAGGCACCCTTTTGGAGGGGGATCTTTTCCTTGGGGGAGGGGAATTCAGGAGATGTGACTATAGGAAGTATGCTCAGAAAAAAGGTCGCAGAGGCAGAGAAAGTGCTGTGCAGAAGATATGCATTCACCAGAGGAAGGAAGAGGAAATGGGTGCCCTGACCAAGCAGGGAGAGCACCTAAAAGGGAAATGGGGTTCCAAAGAGGAAAGGAAACTGAGGAATGAAAATGTCTTGGATAGAAGAAAAGCTAAAAAGGATAGGAGGCATGCTCAAGAACCAAGGATCATGGACCCGGAATGAGAAGACTTAGAAAAAAATGTGTGTCCTCCCGACTTAAAAGGTTTCAGGAAGGTGGCTGCACCCTGAGAACTGTACAACCAAAAGGGGTGGATTCTGTACATTTTGGAAACACAGGAAATAAATACACTCTCAGATATGAAAATGAGTCCCCCCCAGGAAATAAAGTAGTTCCTCGATTTGAGGAACTCATGAAAATGAGTGCAACCCCAAGAATACAGTGACTAGAAAAAGCAGTGAATTCCTTTATTTGTGCAACCGCAAATATCCACCTACAAACTTCAGGATTTGGATCGCATTTTCAGTAGACTCTGGAAATGAGGAGCACCCCCAGATTTCAAGGGCTGGGGAAACGAAGTAGCCCCTAAATTTAAGAAATTTTGGAAAGCATGTTGCAAGATCTGGGGCCTGGAGAAGGGAATTCTTTCTTGGATTTGTGGGAATAGAAGCACCCCCAAAACTTTGGTTACTGGACCCCAGATTTGACTCAATAAAGGGGCAAACCCCAAAATCTGAAAGGAGTGCGTGTTCAGATTGGAGGCTCGGAAAAGGGAGTGTCCTCCCAATTTGGGGGGGGTGCCTGAGAAATGGGTTACATCCTCCGTTTGAGGGACTTTGGAAATTAAGATAAAACCCCAGGGCTGGAGTTTAATAAAGGGGATGCACCACATTCTCTAAACTATAGAGAAAGGGGACACTCCCATAGTCAGGGGCTTGAGAAAGGGGTGTGCTCCTCAGAATAGGATAAAAGAGTCAATAAAAGAAAACGCGTTCCCAAAGCACAAGGTAAGAGCAGCGGCTGGTGGTGGAGCTCCCGGGGACCACACAGCTCAGCCTCTAGCCCTAGCGCTTACCCCCCACCCCCAACACGGCCCGCTCCGCGCCCCGAGCCCGCACCCCGCGGCCCAGCCCCCTCGAGCGGCGCTGATTGGCCGCGGCCGCCGTCATTCCCTCGGGCAACCCTGAGGATTGGGCGCCGCTCGCACGCCCGCCACGCTCTCAGCAGCGGTCCCTGGGCCTCCCTCCGGGCTGGGCGAGCGGGGCCGGGCGGGGAGCGAGGCCGGACAGGGGACCGGAGCAGCCGTGGCGGCCGTCACCGCTCCCGCTAGCACAGCGCGCGCAGCGCGCGGGCCCGGCCCAACCCGGCCCAACCCGGCCCCGGCCAGCCGGCTTCTCCTCGCCGCGTCTCGCCGCGAGCTCACCTCACAGCCCCGCTCCGGCTGCGCCGCTCCAGGACCAACCGACAGAAGGACTCTGCGTGCTGCGCACCACGTGACCCTCGGGACGCGCCCAGCGTATCCCCCGCCCCCCACACACACGCACCCTCGCCACCACCGAGTGACGCAGCGCCCCAGCTGCCCCGCCCTCGGCCCCGCCCCGCCTGATCCCCGTGGAGATGGCTCCCGCGGGCCACGCCTACTGCCCTGACGCGCGGGAACCAGGCCGGCGCCCTGATCCAGAGCACGAAGTTCCCATTCACCCATAACCACTGAGGTAACACGAAGCCTGGGACTGGACACTACCCATCACCTGTTAATTTCGCCGCCTAAGTGCATCTCGAAGCCTCCCACTTTTCTCCATCCCGCTGCCGACACTCCAGTCTAGGCCACCTCTCTCTTAGATGATGGTGCTGGTGCCCTCCATCCCATTACCCTTTCCCCTTCCAATCCATTCTTCACACACAGACAATGGAGCTTTTCAAAACTCAGGTATAATCACAGCACACCTTGCTCAAAACCCATTGCCCACTGTTCTTCGGGGGTTGAAATCTTAATCTCCACTGTAGCCTATCAACCAGGCTCTTCGAAGCCTGAACCTAACCTGCCTTTCTCACATTCTCACACATCCTGCTTTCCCACGTTCTCGACCTCTTTCTTTTTTTTTTTTTTAAGATTTTATTTATTTATTAGAGAGAGAGAGAGACAGCGAGAGGGAACACAAGCAGGGGGAGTGGGAAAGAGAGAAGCAGGCTTCGCGCCGAGCAGGGAGCCCGATGCGGGGCTCGATCCCAGAACCCTGGGACCATGACCCGAGCTGAATGCAGTCGCTTAACCAACTGAGCCACCCAGGCGCCCCTCGACCTCTTTAAAGTAAGTGCTCAAGCCAGGTTCCTTGCCGCCTCAGGGTCTCTGCACTAATACCTCCAACACTTTGCCTCATTAACTCCTAGCTAGGAAAGGATTCCAATTGCTGGTGTGCAGAGGAGCTGTATTTTGCCTCTGGGGACCTAGGTGGGAGTGGCAGCCACAACCAAAGGGTATGAAATGTTTTCCCAACGGGACTTGGGAAGTCCCAAGGAGAAAGGCTGAACATTCGTTATTTTTGAGCGACATGAGGACTTTAATTTACATCAGAAAGACAAAGCAGCCAGATTGCACTTCTTAAAATGTAAATCCAATCATGTCACTGCCCTGCTTAAAATGGCCAATCCGTTCACCTGCATCCTTCACCCTTGTTCATCCTCCGGCCACAATGACTTTCTGTCAGTTTCTATGGTTCTTTCTAAATTCTTTCCAGCTGCTGGATCATCCAATAAGCTGTTGCTTTTTGCAAAGCTGACTCTTCATCATGCAGGTCTGTTTGTCATCACCTTAGTGAGACTCTCTTTAGCTGCATTATTTAAAAGTGCTTCACTTGATCAAACGCCTGCCCCTTGACAATTACTCTCTACCTAATTACTGTTCATTTTCAGCAGAGCACTAACACAGTTTTAATTATTTCATTTGTTTGTTCTCTTGATTATATTTGTCTATTTCCTAAATTAGAGTTAGGAACTATCTTATATCAACTGAATTGTCAAACCTGACAAATAATAGATGTTCAATGTATTATCTGTCAAAGGAATGAAAGGAAAGAAAATGATATTTTAAAAAAACTAGTAGATTCTTCTTTATGGCGCAAGTCCATAGGAGAGTTGTTCTTCAAATCAGGCTTGAAGAGGGCATTACCTCCGGGCAGAGGAAGAGGTTCTGGGAAACCAGGGACAAAATCTTCAGCTGTGTTCACTTCAGCAGCACATATACAAAAATCATAACAATACAAAGATTAGTGTGGCCCCTGTCCAAGGATAACACGCAAATTAGTGAAATATTCCATTTGTGTTAAAAAAAGAAAAAAAGAAAAAAACTTCAGGAATTTGAGGACCAGAACCACCTGCAAAAACTCAGCTCAGTACTCCAATACAATAAGAAAGGACCTTCCCAGGATCCTCTCGGTTTATGTCTCTTAACATGAAATTGTTCAAATGTTAGTGGCTGGGGCATCTTGGCTCAGATGGTTAAGCGTCTGCCTTCAGCTCAGGTCATGATCTCAGGGTCCTGGGAACCAGCCCCATGTCAGGCTCAGCAGGGAATCTGCTTCTCCCTCTCCCTCTCCCTCGCTGCTCTCTCTCAAATAAGTAAATGGAATCTTCAAAAAAAGAAAAAAGAAAGAAAGAAAGAAAAAGAAAGAAAAAATAAATGTTAGTGGCTGTTGTAGCATAAGAGGATTTGTTGTCGCACAACCATAATTAATGCCAAGAATCCCGACTCAATAGCCGCACATAAATACAACCTGTTTCTTCACTTACTCAGCCTGCATGCATTGAAACCAGGGCTTGAGCTGAGCACCAAAGACATGGTAGAATGAGATGTAGGCCCTGCTCTCAAGGATCTCACAGCCTGGTAAAGAAATCATTGCAATTTGTAAGTTAAAGTTCTCTTTGTCTGTTGCAAGTTCAGGCACTGACACTGTTGCCAATACAAGCAAAAGAGAAATATATTACAAGGATATTAGGGGCCTAGAGCATGCACTGGAGGGCAAGCACGGAAAACAAGCAGACAGAAAAGCAGCTTCACCAAGAAGCAACTGCTGCTGCCAACAGCACCACACACCACGGCTGGGATTCAGTCCTAACATCCTTTTGTCTTTGAGTCACTCACTTAAGAGGCAAAAATCTTGGCCCAGAGCCGCTGTTGATTGGTCAATCTCAGATCACATGGATTAGTCCAGGCTGCCAGGAAAAGAAGAGAGGAGCAGTATGCCCCTAAGGATATTCCCCCGAGTTGGGAAAAGAGGGGAGAGCTGATGCTGGCCAGGCAAAAATAACTTGATACGGATATGAAAAAAGTACCTTGGGAGTTAAGCTCTTCCTGATTCCTGCAGAAACCTGGCTTGCCAGCTTCTTCTAAACTGGACCTTCACTACCTGCTAGTCACAGAACTCCAGTTTGCAAAATTCTGATCTAAAGTCCCAGTCTTACCCCTGCCTCCTTAGCAGCATCCCTCTTTGGGCCTTAAGATTCTCCCCACTACAAAAAAAAAAAAAAAAGATTCTCCCCAGCATCTCACTAGTAGTCGGTCTCAACCTCCCAATTATGTCTTAGAGCCTTTCTTTGTGCAAGATAGGCATTCAACTAATAGTTACAATTAGTGAATGAGTGAAATAATGAATGTAAAGCAGCCTCAATTCCACGAAGTAGAATCTCTCCTGCTAAGTGTCTAACGAGTTCAGAACTCTGGTCCCAGCCTGTAAAATGACAGCTCCCCAAGGAAACCCTACATGCATGTAAGGTATATAGTAGCTCAAGAGGCGGGCAGTATCTGCATGGAAAGTCCTTTCACTCCCTATGAATCACTTTTCTCCTTAAATTGTCAAATTTAAGTTAAATAGCATATGAGAAAATTTATTATAAACTGCAAAGTTCTATATAAATGATTTTCTGATTGCTTTCTTACTAGATTCGTCATCATCTAGAGTATTCAAAATGTCCCTGGCTAAAGAGAAACAGAACTAAAGGCCTAACATGAGATAGGATATTCAGTTAGAAAACTGATCTTTCTCAGCCTCTAGCCAGCAAACCTTTACACTCTGTCCTTATGCAACCCCAAGGTATTTACAATGAGTCTGTCTAGGGAAAAGGGGAAAACTAAAATAGAAAAGCAAGCCCCTCAGCTGTGACTCACACTCAAAGACCCCATATACTCAGAGTATCACAAGCTTGAGCATGTCAGTCTCCAAAGTAGGAACTGGGGTATGATATCTGCAGCACTCAGCTGAGTGTGAGAACTCAGGAAGCCGGAAACCACAGTCACAGCAGCATCTGAGAGGTCCAAGAACCTTCACAAGGCCCCGGGGGACTCAAGGGAAGCAAGTTGAGTCTTGGCCCTGGCCTGAGGTCTTCCAGTCTGGACCTGATGGAAGGTTCTTGAGCTCCCCAAGCCTTAGTGCTCTCCAAGTGAGGGGGAGGAGAATTAAGTAGGAATTCTAATATATTTCCAGCATTTTGCAAGATTATGGGGGGGTGGGAAGAAGAGGAAAAGGAGAAGAGAACATTTTTTATTCTTGTCCTAGATACTAAAAAGAATAATAAGGGGCACCTGGGTGGCTCAGTTGGTTGAACGACTGCCTTCAGCTCGGGTCATGATCCTGGAGTCCTGGGATCAAGTCCCGCATCGGGCTCTCTGCTTAGCGGGGAGTCTGCTTCTCCCTCTGACCCTCCCCCCTCTTGTGCTCTCTCTCTCTTTTTCTCTTTCAAATGAATAAATAAAATCTTTAAAAAAGTAAAATAAAATAAAATCCACCTGGATCACTTCAAGGGACTAAGTCCTGTTCTACTTTGTCCTTTGGGAGCCCCAGTACCTAGCACTGTTCTCTATAATTTAAGCATACTTATTAAATATTTCTTGTGGGTTGAAACTCATGCCAATCCAGGGATAAAGAGAAAGGGGGAGGAATGGAGGTTAAAGAACTTTATTAAATGATCAGTCTCTAAATCTGTTGGTACTCCACTCCCCAAATGTCTTATAATTTAATTGTAAATAGTTAATGCTATCCATATGGTTCAAATCCCAGAAACTATATAAAAGGCATACAATGCAAAGTCTCCCTCAAATTCTTGTCCCTCATTGGTCCTGTTTCCACTGGTTAACCACTACTCTTACTTTCTTATGAATCTTTTCAGGGTTTCTTCATACATATATAAGCAAATTCAAATATAAGTTCAAAAAAAATACCCCAGATATAAGTTCAAATATATTCTGACTCTTCTATACAAAAGGAAGCATGTTTTTAAGTTTTTTGTTTTGTTTTGTTTGTTTGTTTGTTTTTTAAGTTATCTCTACACCCAACGTGGAGCTCAAACTCACAAACCTGAGATCAAGCATCATGTGCTCTCCTGACTGAGCCAGCCAGGTGTCCCCAAAAGGAAGCATTTATTGTCCTCCACCTTACTTTTTTCACTAAACAACATATTTGAACATCCTGGAATACATTTTGTACAAGGGCATAAAAATAACTTCTTCCTTATCTTGTTTTATATTACTGCTCCATAGTATCTCTTGTGTGGATAAACTGTAATTTGTTTAATCGGTCCCTTATTGGAGGCCATTTAGGTTGTTTCCAATCTTTTGCAATTTAAAAACAATGTTCCGGGGCGCCTGGGTGGCTCAGTCGTTAAGCGTCTGCCTTCGGCTCAGGTCATGATCCCAGGGTCCTGGGATCGAGCCCCGCATCGGGCTCCCTACTCCACAGGGAAGCCTGCTTCTCCCTCTCCCACTCTCCCTGCTTGTGTTCCCTCTCTCGCTGTGTCTCTCTCTGTCAAATAAATAAAATCTTAAAAAAATAAATTAAAAAATAAATAAATAAATAATAAAAATAAAAACAATGTTCCATTTACAAATAGTAAAGCACATGTGTGCATACAGAACTATAGTCTAGATTCTCAGAAATGGAAGCTCTGAGCCACAGGAGTATAGGCATTTATAACTTTGTTAGAGATTGCAATTTGCCCTCTATAGATTCCCCAAAGATATAACTCCACAATTGCAAAATATGTCACAAGTAATCTGTTACTTGTAATAATTAAGATCCAGTCATTTATTTATAGTTTAAGAAATAGAAGGTGTTTCAAGATTATTCCCATTATGTTAATTCTCGTTTACTTTCATTCCTGATAAGGAAAGAAATGAGTAATGTTGCAGTTTCTAGCTAGAAATGTATATAACCCACTGTACAACTGTGTTTATCACACATGTCAATGTCCCCCTGTGTGTCATTGAAAGAGATATATTGGAAGTTATCTTGATGATCTTTTTTTTTTTAAAGATTTTATTTATTTGACAGAGAGAGACACAGCGAGAGAGGGAACACAAGCAGGGGGAGTGGGAGAGGGAGAAGCAGGCTTCCCTGTGGAGCAGGGAGCCCGATGCGAAGCTCGATCCCAGGACCCTGGGATCATGACCTGAGCCGAAGGCAGACGCTTAACGACTGAGCCACCCAGGCGCCCCTTGATAATCTTAATGTAGAGGAAAATATCCTTAAGCATGAAAGGACAAGTCATTAAGGAAAATATTATAAATTCAACAATATTGAAAAATCTATTCTATCAGGGTGGGGCTAAAAAAATTCTATCCACAAATGTACATATATATAAACAGATGGTTTGCAGTATGTAGGGAAATGAGAGTGGGAATGGAGGCTAAGGAAGTGTAACTCAAACAAAGAGGGGCCACTTTGTTTCCAATGTTCATAAACAATGTTGCAATAAGAAAAAAGAACGGGGGGGGGGGGAGAAAACCAACTTAAGATAGAACATGGTTTTAGCTAAAATGAAGCCCAGTCTGGGGAAGATTAAAAAGGTGATGATGGGGGTGCCTGGGTGCCTCAGTTGTTAACCGTCTGCCTTCGGCTCAGGTCATGATCCCAGGGTTCTGGGATCGAGCCCCTCATCGGGTTCCCTGCTCAGCGGGAAGCCTGCTTCTCCCTCTCCCACTCCCCCTACTTGTGCTCCCTCTCTCGCTGCGTCTCTCTCTGTCAAATAAATAAATAATATATTTAAAAATTTTTTTAAAAGGTGATGATCGCTTCTCAGCCTTTTGGCTAAGATCAAGTGTAAATAGGTGATGATGGTTTGGAGAGAGATTTTTGTTTTAAAAAGAGAAAAAAACAATGTTGCAATAAATAATTCTCTTACTGATGATCATTCACAATGTTTCCAATTGTTATAAACAGTGCTTCAATAAACAGCCTTGTATGTTCAAAACAGGAAAAAAAGAGGGGTTGTGTCTGGCTTAATGGAAACGGCACCAAGAAACAAATATATGAGTATATCTGTAATTATGCAC